TAGAACGTTTAAACAACAAATTATTTGCTTACCTTCCTTCACGGAGAGAGCGATTGGAGAGCCGCGGTAAGTAAGAGGTAAAGGAGAGAGGAGATGAGTATCTCTAACTTGTTTTCCTACTACATTTACCGGTGCTGTTGCTGCAAAATACGTGGCAAAGGTTGTGTATAGGAGTAGTCGGTCAAATCCAATTGCGAAGCCATTGGAGCGTCCACTTAGAGCGCCGCCGTAGACCGGGAGAACTTCAGCAACAATATACGCACGCATACATACAGACACACATACACACGCAGATGCACGCATATACCCACACGGCGAGACAACAAATTGGAAATATCGTACTTCGGAGATACCTCGGGAAATATCGCGAGACTACGCACGCAATATAGAAAAGTCTAAGAGCGAGAGAGTGATAAGGCTATCGCACACCAAATGCTAAAGCTGTACGTGCATAGTATAGAACCGTCTCGACCAATGAGCATATTCTGCAAATTAATATGGCAATTTTTTCTAGATACTCATTGGTTGAAAGGATCTCGCGCTACGCATATATTCAGCTATGCGCGTGATGGTCCATGAAGTGGGATCGTACAGGTCTAAAAGATATCCTAATTTTTCAAGTGGCCTTTAGATAAGCTCTCTCAGGCCTCGGTGTTGTTCATGCGAGGAGCTTATGCGGATAACTTGCTGCTCGATTGCCTCGTGTACTGACTTGGCGGCGTAACGGGCGCGGATTACACTCCAGTAACGTGATCCAACGTGTTACGTCGCCTTCGCGTCATCGCAAATCGCTGCCGACGCGAGCGGTGAAGTAGACAAGACGAGGTGCTTTTCAATATAAAATAGTGTCATAAGGTGTTCTGAAGTTCGTCGAGCGGCCGATGAACGACGTTGCGAGCGAGTGTATCATCGATGACGGAGTCGCTAGGATGTGATTTCTTATTAAAGACAATTATCGCAGCATGCGTCATAATAACAATTATCATAACGACTGTTTGCATTATGTGAAATCACGCTACGTGAATGAAAAAAGATTTGATTTGTTTCCTTCGGAGAAGAGCGAATTCAAATCTATATTAATAATCGTTATTTAAATTTGTCTCAAGTAAGACACTCAGATTTGTAAATTCAGAGTTTGATGAGAACTTTTTTCAATTGAATCACGCGATTATAGATGAATATGTCACATCATAATTTAATCATAATTTAATTGAAAAAACTTAATCTAACTCCGAATGAAAATTGAATATTTTACGTGAGACTAGTTTTAAGTAACGGCTATTAATACGAGTCCGTATTAATAGTTGATACGTGAGACTTGTCTCATGTGAGATATTTAGATTTTTATTCAGAGTTAGATTAAAATTTTTTAGTTGAATTATATGATATATGTGACATACTTGTAATCGCGATCCAACTGAAAAACTTTTATCTAACTCTGAATTAAAATCTGAATATCTCATTTGAGAAGAGTTTCAAGTAATGACTATTAATACGAGCCTTAGACCCGTATAATAGTTGCTTGAAGGTAACTTCAAGTGAGATATTCATGTTTAAGTACAGTTATATGTAAGTTTTTTGGTGAAGTTGCGTTTGAAAATGCAACGTCACGCGTATCATGTGTGTTTTGAATGGAAAAAACTCAGATCTAATTCTAAATTCTGAGTCTGAGTATCTGTCATGAGATAAGTTTCAAGTAATGACTATTCCTAGGTCTTAGGATCGCTATTTGAAACTTGTTTCACGTGAGATATTCAGATCTAATTTAAAGTTGTGTCTGAGCCTTTCAATACGAACCATATGATACACGTGACATTATATTTGTAATCGTGATTCAGCTGAAAAATTCACATGCAGTTCTAAATTCAAATCTGAGTATCTCACCTGAGGTAGGAAGTTTCGAGTAACGACTATCAGTACACAGGCTTCAGTACGTTCGACATTTCAATAATTCTTATTGTCTGTGGTTACGTGTAGAGATGAAAGACAATCGTGTGTGCGTGCGTGAAAATAAATCGGTAAATGTAACGCACCCACAGAGATGTGAATCCGTGGAGAGATTATCTATGCAACAAAGCGTCTCTCGGCCGTTCTGACGCAAACTAATGCGTACGTGAGACGTCGCGTTTGATGCGCGGAGAATGAAATATGCCGGGGTATACTTCGTGCAACCTTGTAGCAGAATCTTAAAGCGCGGTCGTTTCTCACGGCGGCTGCAGCTTGGAGAAATATATGTTAGCGGGGGGTGTGTCGGTCCTCCGCCGGTGGTGAAGTGCACCTGATCCATCTCACGTCGATATCGTAAAACGTCGCGCGACTCCCCACGTAAGTTGGGAACAGGTGTTTTGTTTATCGTGTAGACACACGCCCCGGGCTGACTAAGTGTGTACGCGCAATCAGCGGTCCCGCGCTTATTCATTTGTCGCGCTGCAATCGCAATTGTCCCCGTGTAATGCGCTGAAATATGTCTTTTGTGGAACGCGCGCGCGCGCTATTTTTAATTCCACTCGTTCACAATTGGAGTATTACGATAAAACACGTTGCGCGTAGTTGCGGCGTATTTGCGCGAACTCCGCGATATACAATTGAAGCTTTGATCAGAGAAACGTTGTAATCAACTAATTTGAAATTTTCCAGTAGAGTTGAAAAAGCAAATACCGCGAATTCAACGAGACCCCAATTAAATCCACTGAACTAAACGCTCTCGCATCTCTAAAACCGCTCGATAATCGCGCAAAAACCCGACGAATTAATCGGTACGATTTTCGGCTGCCCTGCGAAAAATGTGCGCTCGCGATGCCAGGAGAGCTTAAATTAGTAACAACATCGTTGTTCCTTAGTCGGCGCCAGCATTGCACGGTTGTAATTTCGCATAATATCGACCTTGTCGCGCGAATGTGCGAAAACGCGCATTCTCCGCATTGGCTTGCGTGAGAAACGGCACGAAGAACAGGCGTGTTGCGTATTATGCGTTTGTTACAGAGTTCTTAAAGTTTAGTTCCTAAATTGTGTGGTCTTGCTCACTTGCGCGGTATCTTCTAGAAGTGGCAAACATCTCAATTAACATTCATATCACATCCGTGGACGGGAAACACCTACGCACATTATATATACGTAATAGAATTCACGCAATTCGACATTCGCTGGCAAAGTGCATGAATTATCCATTTGCGCGAGTATCGCCTTTACAGAACATCCGCCAATTCGTATAATGATATTATACGAAGAGCGCACTTATGCAATAGCTAGCACAACTCTCAGCGTCGAGAAAGAAGGAGAAGGAAAAACTTTGGCGCGCGCGAAATTTAATAAACTCGACTCTCTCTCTCGGAGAACGATATCAGGCGATATAAGGCCATTTCATCTGCCGGCTCAATAAAAACACTACCGTGTCCGCAAAATTGTATTGTCCTCCCGACAGAAGTAGTTTTCGCAGGGCGAGATACTCGAACGAGGACTAAGTATATATGGTTATTGATCTCGACGTACACAGAACGAGTCGCATAACTCGAGATCATCCCGATCTTGTGGGACCATCTCACGTGATCTTGCACGAGGAATGTGTGCACTATGATCCGACATGACAGCGTGTGTCCCAAACCTATCCTATGATTCTCAGCCGTCAGTCAGCGGCATCATTCCTCGGAGACGCCTACTTGCTCGTTTAGATGTAGACAGCGATATCGATTTGACAAGTGTGCCCTCAGCGAGAGAACAATGGCACAGTGTATATTAGATGCAATCCGTCAAAACGGCGCGCGACAAGCGCAAGAAAAAGAAAGAGAGAGAGGAAGCGAGCGAGAATCGCGAAGAACGTAACGAGAACGGGGAAAATATCCCGGCGCATTCGAATCCATTGATTTAACGAACGCTTCCGTCAACGCGTAAATTCCGCTCGGGAGATCCCGGAGGGCGGCCGGATGCCTGGAAATCCCCAGTCAAAACGCAGCCGCATAAAGAAAGGCGACACCCGCAAAAAGTGTCTCTCGCCTAAGGGAAAGAGCGCGGGGAAGGAGGAGGAGGAGGAGGAGGAGGGGGGGGAAAGAGAGAATCGGCATGCAAATGACTTTATCCCCGACACGCGGCGTTTTCTCGCCGAGTCTGGAAAAACCGGGCATTTGAAAACTAAAGAATCCTGGCGCCGGAGGCGAGCCGATGCCTGGAAATATGGCGCGCGGGGGTTTGTTGGCAGTTTCGACGAGGCGAATGTACGTCGACGGTTTAATGGTGGTGCTCTCGCGGTCGAAGACGAGCCCGCCGTGGCATGGGGCTGGCCCTCGCTCGCTCCTCTTCTCCGGAGTGCAGCCGAGCGTGCAACGCGTACCATTCTGGCGGAAAGCCCTATTCCCCGACTTCGACCGTGAAGTTGTCTAGCGGCCAAAGGCGTCGGCGCGTTTCCTTGTAATGCACTCCTCCGCCAACGTAAAAAGTTGGCTGAACGCGATTCGTCATCGCGACGCATAAGAAGAACGTGCTCGCTATTTAACGGCTCCCGACACGGCTCTCCGCCGGCTGACTCATTTACGCGGATTAAGGCGTCGCGCTGGAACTGCGCGAGATATTTCAAATATTCTCCGGCTGTATTTTTCAGCGCGTTTCAACGGACGCAGCACACCGAATGAGTAATTTATTCCGATATATTACATGCATTCCGATGTGTGCGTGAATGTGTGTGTATATGTGTGCATAACTAAATCTAATAAAGGCGAGATGTCCATGAGAGAGAAACAGAAATATCGATTTCTCTGTGAATTTTTCACGTATACTCTATGTAGGAGTATATAGTTTCGTATTTTATATTATTATAATAATTAAAATGTACGAGATGTATCATCGTGCGAGATATAATATGTCATGGGAATATTTCAATTTCGATTATTGAAACGTTATAAAAATATGCTTTTATGAGAAATTGATACAAACGTGCGCATATGTATGTATGTACATATGCACGGGAATCCAACATCGCATACTGATTGCATTCTATTGTTTCATTGCAGATCGCGATGGTCCAAATGACAGCGTTGCGTCTGCTCGCGGTGTGCCTGGTCGCTTCGACGTTCGCCCTGAATGAGGAGCTGTTGGAGCAAGAATGTCCCGTAGATTGCCACTGTCACTACTTTCGCATCAACTGGGTGACGGATTGCTCGGATAGCAACCTGACTACCATCCCATACAGCGAGCTCAGCCACAATGTCTATATTTTAGACATGAATGATAATAATATCGCGAACATCGGCCCGTTTCCCAGTGCGATCAAGCTGAGACGCCTCCAGATGGCACACAACCGATTAACCGAGCTGTCATACGAATCCTTCGCTGGGTTAACATATCTCCTGGATGCGGATTTCTCGTACAATGCCATCAGGCGGATCGATCCTGAGGCATTTCGGTATGTATCAATAAATGTATCAATTACACTCGCGAGCATAAATTTACATGTATAGACTGTCTTTTTCTAAGAGATTCAAAGACAAGATTCAAAGGACATCTAAATTTCCCTTAAATTGTCTACAAGTATTTGAACTTTATTTAGCTAACTCCAATAGGAGTTAAGCTAGACAAAAATCGAACGCCTGCACTAATAGGATAGCCTGCTTGTAGCCAAGTTTTCACAGTCTCTTGTTCAATAGGAGCGCTTATTTTATATATAAGTCTATGCTCGCTAGTAACCGTTTTTCTCAATGGTGGATGGGTGATATATGATATTCATTTCAACAGGGACAGCCCGGGTCTAATCACACTCGAGCTCCAGCACAACCCTTTGGACGTGGTCGAGGGACACTTCCTGAATTGCCGCACGCTGCTCTACCTTGATCTGAATTCGTGCGGTATCCGCCAGCTCGACACACGCTTCTTCTACAACACGACGAATTTGAACAAGCTTGATTTGTCGTACAATCCTTTGCAGAGGATAGAACCGGGTCCGTTCGATCATCTGACGAACATGGAATATCTCAAAATGAACGGGTGCAACTTAACGTACATATCGGCCGAGGCGTTCTCCCACTTGGAGAACTTGCGACAATTGGAGATAGCGGACAACGCGCTGAAGACACTGAATTGGAGGAATGTTCTCGGGCCGTTGATGCGCTTGGAGCATCTTGATATCCGCAACACCGGCGTCACAAATCTACCGGGTGACGCCTTCGCCAAGAACTTGTATCTTCGACAGTTGGTACTCGCGGACAATGAATTATGGCATTTGGATGTCGAAGACACGCTCGGCCACAATCTGCACAGTCTTCAGTCTCTGGACTTGTCGAATTGCAACCTGCAAGATCGCCTTTCCGAAGAGGCTTTCAGAAACGCGAGTAAACTGCGCGTACTCAATTTAAGCGGCAATCCAATGTTCGCCAGCGACTTAACCGTCGTTCTCCGCCACTTGCCAAAGCTCCACAAGCTCTCTCTCAGCAATTGCAGCCTCCGAAGATTGCCGAATGCCTTCGAGATATTCGAAAATCTCGAGGAACTCGACATCTCTCATAATCCGTTATCCGACGCGTTCGTCAGCCTTCTCAATCCGTTAAGATCGCTAGAGTACCTGGACATGTCATATTGCGGCCTCGGTTACGTCGGGAATAATACTTTCGCACAAATGACCTCGCTGAAACAACTGATCCTCTCTGGAAACGAGCTTCACACGTTGGAGGAAGGACTGTTCGCGAATCTAACACGCCTAGAAAGCTTAGAATTGAACAAGTGCGACTTGAAGATACCGCTAGACCCGAAAGTCTTCGGTGATCGTCTCTCAACGAATATAATCGAGCTCAAGCTCAACGGCAATCCGCTCATCGTACCCAACGAGGGCTCGCTGTTACCGGCGCAACTGTCTAATCTAGAGATTCTGGATCTTGGCAATTGCGGCATCTCGCATCTGAACGAGAATATATTCGCCACGACTAACAATCTCACGCAGCTGAATCTCTCGGGAAACCCTATCTCCGGCGTCGAGAATCTCAGCTCTCTGAAAAAGCTGCACGCATTGGAGCACATAGATTTGAGTAACAACAAGTTAAGTACAATTAATCCGACGGTATTCAAAGCCAATCCGCGCTTACTGTCCATCAATCTAATGGGCAATCCATTCATATGCAATTGCTCCATCACGGAGACATGGGACTGGGCCGTATACGAAAAGGGTGATCTCCATGTGCTCGTTGGCAGCCAGCCGGCCAATTTCGAGACTGGCTCTGCGAAACGAAGGAAAAATCTCTCGTGCTCTTACGACGAGGAGACCTATCGAAACATGACCGGCGACAGTCGTCAGACAATTTCGAGTCGCAAGCATTATCCCAGCCAGTTCACGCCCTCGCGCACTTGGGCCAAATATGTCCGCGAGTCCAGTTGTAGCCGACGTTCATGATACGCGATAACCCATCCGATGTTTGACATCTACTATCACAAAGTGCGCAAATACAAACAGGAATTATAAGGCGAGTCGCCATTACTATTAAATATTATTGCGATATTGTTATATCGTGTAAGTCACGATACACAGATATCATGGGGAATTTATATATCTGTGACATTATTTTTTTAGCCATAAGACTTAAGACCAGATCTGACACATGTGGTTTGCGTTATTAGAAGATACGCCCGGAGAAGTTACTAAGTCACAAATACGATTTTGTATATGTATATATATATATATATATATATATATATATATACATATATGTATATATATATATGTATATGTATATATATATATATATATATATATATATATATATGTATATATATATATATGTATATATACATACATATGTATATGTATATATATATATATATATATTAAACAGTCTTTTTCGTACATATATATAAGAATAATTCTCGTAAAAGTTTTCGTTTCAATTCGATAAAATAGTGCGTAAGCCGCGACGATTAGCTGCCATTAAGCGACGTTAATAAATAAGATAAAGTTGCAGTAGAAAAAGAGAAGTCGCAATAGTAGGATTTAATCGAAGAGAAAGATACTCAAATTAATAAACAACGCGTCTCTCGATTTCAAATGCAAAGATCAGTGCCATTCGAATTTCGCATGTTTCCAAGGTTATTTTCGACTTAAGATTATCGCGCGGATTATTATGTGCTGAATGATTTCGTTTTAATCACGAATTGTACAAGACTGTGTTTAATAAAGTTCCATATCGATCCTTCTTGATACACGTGCTAATTTTTTTACTTTTGCTATACGCTCGCGATGACGCGTTTGGCCCGTGGGTTAATCACGCTAACTGACACAATATATTTAGAACGCATAGATGTGACTGATCGATACAACGCGGTGTCGATGCTCGATAATACATTGTATGTACCGTGTACGCCACTCGGATATATTTCAGCGGTTAACAAAATACCGTCTCAATAAAACGTTTTATGTAATAACAGGTCGACATTGATCACTCGCATTTACGTAACTACGTTACGACAGAAGGCAACGGTTAATGAAATAACGCGAAATGACATTTCTGATATTATATGTCACTTGTATCGATCGGTTATTACCTTCAAAATAATCATGCGGCTTGCACCAAAATTAGTTATTTTCTTCTCGAGATTTTATGTTGCTTATGAGTATTTCGATAACGTGGAATAACTGCTTCAACTATTAGCCGCAAATAATAGGTATTATTACATATATCACGACGAACAATGCGCGCTCGTGTACGTGTGCGTCTGTGTGTTGAAAGTGTATACAATTCCGGTGTAAAATTTGCAAAATTACACCGGTATGTCAACGTGAGTTATATCGTATGAGATTAACAGTTTCGATAGCGCTGTATATATCTGAAGAGGCACGCCACAAATGTAGAAAATTACCCCTCCTTCCCTTCTTATGCAATTTATTCGCCGCCAGATACAGTTATCTCTAATTATACCATTTACATTTGATAGCGCGATACAAAATTTAAATCTGACACGCTTTCACGCACGCGCACAGACATATCGCGTGTCATTTTCAATGAGGATACACATCACAAGCAACATTTCAATTTCATTTATGCGTATTATACGACTGCTGTTACGTTGACATGTTACCGTTCGCTGAAAGATGACCATGCAGGACCCATGTATGTACAAATTCGACGGAAGCCTCCACATTATTTCTCCCCACGTGTGATTCATGAAATATGCACTCGCGGTACATATCGATGCCGCGTTTCCATTCATTCGATTCGCTCGATTGATTTCACTTAAATATTGTAGCACACGAATCGTTAAGTTAGCTAACTATGAGGATCATTTAAAAATTTGATAAACGAGAGAGAAGCTTTGCTCATCTAATTACATATTCAATTACAGTGGATCGGAGGAGATATGCGCGTGTACGACCCCAGACAGCGCAAATTATTGAAAGAAGTCTTGAAGACATCCAAAAGACGTCATGTTCCTTTTGGACATCTTTTGGGCGTCTTTAAGATATCTTTTAATATTTGGTGCGCTGTCTGGGATTTTATTTGTTCGTACGGAATTCTCCTCACGCAACTGCGCCAAGTCTCGAGCTCAGACCTGCCGAGACAGAACTTCGATTCCGTGACGACACCACCGCATCGTGCTGCATCGGCTGTTTCGACCGGCGGAACCGACAGTGACCTTCGATAATTGATCCCCGATGGAACGTACACCGCATCTCGTCTATATACGTACACTCCCCCGCGAATCTATCCAAATAGACACGTGTACATAAATTTGGCAGCAACTTCGCTAGTCGATGTTGGAAGGTTGTATTCCTCACAGGTAATTCATATGCAATTCATACTTGTTACACAGAATGATCAAATAGAAATACGCAAAAATACCATGAAAAGAACGATGACAATGTTTGTTAAAAACAACATATATATGTCGCGTAAAATGTAATATGAAAATCTCCGAGTAACTTTTAGTTTAAATGCGTTGCTACATTGATATAACAGCAAAATTGGCATCATTGCGCGATGTAAACATCATTGATTGATTCAGCACAGTATATCTGCTTCATAAATATAATTTAAAAAAAATTACAGGGTTTATCTCATGTCGTGACAGTCATGAAAGTCCATCTGAGTACATTCCCTCCGGCAGGAACGCTTCACCTATATCGCCGCGACACCTCGTCGAGGAGCAGGTGTTATCAATGCGTGAACACGGCCCTACGCACCCTGTTTCGACCGAAGCTCTACGACATAGTTACACGCTGGTGTGGATCGCATTGACGTACGATGCCGCTTGGGCATCTCTCCGTGAATAAAAACGGCGAGCGAGGAAGAGCGCCTCGATCGGTCGTCATCGATCGCGGACCTTCTCCGCGGCCTGACCTCAACCTGCACGAGTCGCACCGCAAGAGACGGGCGCCGCAGTCTGGAAGGTGAGAGAGCGCTGGTGTGTCGCGCTCGGGACAGTGAACATCAGTAGCGACGATATTCCGCGGCGAAGGCTGCGGCGAGAGTGAGCGCCGTGTCTCTCCCTCGTCGTCTCGGCGCGCGCAAACTTCACGTCGTCGTTACGTAATAATCTGCAGCGCGCTCTCGCTCTCGCGCACACGTCACGACGTCCCGGCTGCACGTAGATTGACGTAGATTTCTGCGTTATACGCACGTGCACGCACGCATGTACGTGCGTGGCGCGCGTACGTATGTGTGCGTGTGTGTGTAGTTGGAATGCGGTGACGCTCGAACGTGGTTTCCCGGTGGAGAATTTGGCGCAAGCTACCCGCGAACGTGTCGGGAATGTCGGGGATAAGCGGCCGAAGCGCGAGGTTCCGATTTCGCGATCACGCACAGCACGCGCCTCGCCGGTGAACGAACGGGGTGTGACGCGTCTTGCAGTCGTCGCGGACACGCACTCGCGCTGATTCGCGGTCATTGGGATTCGTTAGGGTTTCATGAGTGACGCACACGTGCACACTCACCTGTCCATTCGGACGCCTGACGTCGAACGTGTCAGGCTTCGTTTCGCGGTGAAATACGGTGAATGTATGATGAATGTATGATGAAGAAAACGTAAGTGTTTCTCTGTTTTTTTGTAGCGCTTTATCACTACTTGTACGTGCGACGTGAACGTCGTATGCGCAACTTACAAATTAATTATACAGTTCCCCACCTATCTTATTTCCCCCACTCGCTAAGTCAATGACAAATAACAGTGCTGCAAACACTGCTGTTTTTAATGCGCAGAGAAAACATTATAGTAAAAATTAATGTTAAAATTTTATTTCCTTGTACGATATTTCTTGTAAAGCTGAACTATACTAAATTTAGCTGAATTAATAGCTGAATTTTTGTATTATAAATTACTAACTGGAAAAAGCAAATTTACGACGATTCATTTTAATACACGATATAAAAAACATTCAAGTAATTGCAACAACTGACAGTAGAATGTCAAACGTGCATAACATTTTTTAAATAGATATGTAATTCCGGCCACAATTTTATACGGCCCATAGTTACAAAAATTTTGTTGTAATTTTTGCTACAACATTTTTCCGTGTAGATTTATTCTGTAGAACATTTAGAAGGAATTGCATCATCATGGCGTTATTATTTAGAAAAAGTTGCATTATCATTGTGCAGCTTTCCTAACATATATTGCCCAACGATTATGTAACAATAATAGCACTGTTGTTTAAAGTTACAGAATAGGTATACTGATGAAAAGTTGGAGTCCAGTTTCGCAGAACACTCGAACTTAAGGTAAAAATGGCAGTAGTTATTTTTGCATTTAATTAATTTCGTAAGAGTAAAATTGTTGTCACATGGACACAATTACGTTAAAAACGTTACACGTATAGAATACTATTATACGTTATGTATAGAATACTATTATACATTATCGCATATCATGATGATAAGCATATTTTATTTTATCAGTCTGATACGTCGTTGATATTTGTAAATCGATTTAATAACTAGGTAAAAATAGTAGTAAAAATAACTAGGTAAAAACGATAAAATATAACCTTTGATCATACTTTATCATTATTTACTGACATTACATGATTATTGCATTCATTCGCGCTCGCGTCTGGACAATGAAATGAACTCGTTTTAAAAAACTAATTGTTTAATATCACGGAGAAAAAGAAAGTCGTAATATATGGACACTTACAAAATATTGTTGCGTTAGCTATTTTTCTTGCTATAGGAGCAAATTCTTTTCGTACAACAGCAACAACTTCTAGCAACTTGGTATTACGTCGTTCTCACAGCAAGAAAATTTGCTGTTGCTAACAGCGAAAAATGTTGCTAACGCAGCAGTATTTTTTAGATGTTTATATATTACAACTATTTTAGCTGCGGCAAACACATTTTTTTTCTGATTAAGCTTTACGAAGCTCTTGCGTTATCAATCTCAGTTTCTTGCGCTCTTAATCTTCACACTTCTGTCTCGGCTGAAGATCATATCTCATGTATTTACAAAGTTTGAGTGCCGTCTTGAGGATAAAGCGGTGAGATATATAAAATTACAAATTAATTAATTTTGGTAAACGTTTTTGTGATAATTATGGGAGAAATTCGAAATTATATAATTTATATATCATCATAAATTATAATTTTTAATATTGCACGTGTGTTACACCTCCCAGTAAACACAAAGTATCATCCATATTACAATGTCAGCTCAATCATATGGTATTTTATGTAACTGTTACTTTATTATATAACAAAGTAACAGTTACGTAATATACCATATGATTGAGCTGAGATTGTAACATCGATGATACTTTATGTTTACTGGCAGCGCGAACGCACTTAAATATTGCAACAAAAACACGTGACGCTTACACTTACGCTCTACGCTTACGTCACTCATTAATTTCATTTTTTTTTCGTTTGTCATTGATGGTAAATTTTAAATAATTCAATATGCGATACATTTGCAAAAAAATTTGTTTGCCGTAGCTAAAACATAATATGTGGACACCTAAAAAATACTGCTGCATTAGCAACAATTTTCGCTGTTTTTGCAACAGCAAATTTTCTTGCTGTGAGACGATGTAATACCAAGTTGCTAGAACCGTGTTGCTATTGTACGAAAAGAATTTGCTCCTACAAGAAAAGTAGCTAACGCAACAATATTTTGTAAGTGTCCATATATTACGACTTTCTTTTTCTCCGTGATATTAAACAATTAGTTTTTTAAAACGAGTTCATTTCATTGCCCAGACGCGAGTGCGAATGAATGCAATAATCATGTAATGTCAGTAAATAATGATAAAGTATGATCAAAGATTATATATTATCGTCAACTATTCATTTTATCTAGTTATTAAATCGATTTGCAAATACCAATGGCTTATCAGACTGATGAAATAAAATATGCTTGTCATCATGATATGCAATACTTATGTATACTTTAAGAAACAATAATGAAAACATTCGAAATGTCACTTATTATTGTGTGCAAAGTTTTAATTACGAAGAAATAGAACTTACTCCGCATGTTATTGTTAATTGATGCAAAGAAGTTAATTGCTGCCATAATTGAAGAATAACGTTCGTGACACATTAGCCTTGAATTGTTACTAAGCAGCCACTTCCACATATTCGGGCAGTTGATTATAAACTCTATCTATAGCCTAAGATAATACTCGTGACCCCGCAATAATGGCCATTAAATTACGAGAGAATTTCGAAACTTCCTCGGACACACATTTAACGCGATAATTATTATGGCAGAATATTCAATAACGGTCAAATAATCAGCCAACCAGTGAACGATATAAGTAAAAACATTCCATTCCAAATTTCGATAAAAGTTCGGCGTATCTGAGACAGAGGGTAACAAATAATCCATTTAGGAAATCCCAAACACAGGAAATACGTTCCAAATGGAAGTGTCATATCACGTGGGAGATCTACAAATAAAAAGGAGAATAGAAACTACAACCTAGAAACGCATCGCAAGACATGAATTTATCTACAATTTATCATCAATCTACATTTTTTCTCTGTTTGTTACAGATATATGTTGCTGTAAACTCCCTCCTCGTGCACGTCATCAAACTTGGGAGGTCAACGTAGTATCTGTCAGCGGATTCCGCTCTAGCGACGCCGGTCAGCCAGCCAGTCGGCCGTCCAATTACTAGTACGGCATGTATGCGGCAGCGAGTCTTCCTTTGCCGGCTTTCGCTCGCGGCTGCCGTTTGTTAAGCACTGTCTATCAGCGAGCAAAGTTCACTATCGTCGCCGCTTGAGAACGCGGTCGTCAACGTACATTCGTTCGCTGCGCCAAGACTGGCATCCGGGAATCTCCGTCCGGGGCCACCAGCGCTGCAATCATGCTGCTGCATCTGTTCGAGAGCATTCAGTACATCCCCAAGTTGTACTACGGCGCACTGCTGGGTATCGGCTTCTGCGTTTATTATCTCTGTGAGGTCGTCAAGGTGAGTGAGATAGGAGTCTGTCGAGACGAGTCTGCTTCGTGTCCGCTTATCACGCTTAGCGTCGCGAATAATTGCGTGTTTATTCATGGTATGACTAATGGGACTTTCGGTCAGTCCGCTCAATCGTAAACTCGCTCGGAGGAAACTCGCTCGGAAGAGACCGCGACATTTCGCAAGCACTCTCGGTTACTACACGTAGGAGATTAACCGGCTATGCGCACGGTATCGTATCTGTCACGCGTGCTCTCATGACCGGAAGCTTCACCTATCATTAAACGCAATTGCTAGTCGTGATAATCGGATCGTAGTCACGTGTAGATGTACGTGTGCTCACCACCGTCGCCACCACCGCGAGAACGCTCGTTTTCCGTAGATCGAGAGCGCGAATGAATGTCGTTTATTTCGTTCGCATATCTTCGAATCGAGCCCGTCGCAATGATTCATTCACAATGACTGCATCCAACAGAGAAAACTACTTTACAATTGTCAAATTTGTGAATCTGACTGATGCATGCTCTTAAATTCGATCAAGAGTAAGAACATATACATCAATCAGATCCACGAATTTTACAAAGCAGCTTTCTCTGCCTTGTCGCAGATAAATTGCGAGAAAAATAGCAATGATTCTGGGTACAAGATGAAAATGGAAACTATACGGGAAGCGACGTATCCGTACACGATGAATTTCGAAATGGTTCTTATCGTTATACCTCGTGGATGCGCGACGTATTCATCGGCTAACGAGCCGGAGCGATGGTTAAGTAGCGTCAAACAGCGGCACCTTTTATATGCGTCAACATTTATTTGCCCTGAATGGAGAACTAATCTTTACTTTAAATTAAATAATTTAGCTGAGTCTAAACGACGCGCCAGACATACATCGCGCCGTTGAAAATAGTCGTTCATATATGCATTTCTTGGTCGGAGTATACAAGATTAATTTAACAAGACAATTTAAATTTTAAAATAATTTTTTTGTAGTTTTTTAAAAAATGCTTGATTATCGATCAATCGATCAAAAGGAAACTAACGTAATCAGCTGAGAAAGATTGCATCCATATAAGCGAGATATATTTTGTGTGTAATGTTTGAGATACAAGTATATGTTATCGTTTGATCTCAACATGCAAATATCACTCTTTGATATACATCCAACGCTGTTTTCCTTTTATAGGATGTTTTCACTGCTGAATATATTATAATAAATTTTTAAAAATCATATATTAATGCTGAAATGCTTAAAATGCGACCCACATGACCGGAATAGAAAGTTACCAAAAACCAGTCCGGCAACGAACGTGTTAATCAAATTAGACTTTTAATAAACTTTTAATAGAGACAGACAAATGAAAAGAAAAAGGGAGAAAGAAAGCGGAGGCTGAAACTAAAAGCGCCTGACCCTTTCAATTTCAATTTTTTAAATTTTCTTAACCCTTTGAGCGCGAAACACTTCGGAATTAAACGTTCGCTGAGGACGGAGTACTTTAGACTGTCATGAGTCACACTTATAATCAGTAAGAAAAATTAATTTTTGGAGAATTGAGAATTTATATATAATATTTGCGGGATAAATATAAGATTTATTTGTACGAAATAAATTATATTATTAAATATAATTTAATAATAAAACCTTATGTTTACACATGTTTTGTGTAGTCGGCTGATAAAGCAACATTTTTCCTCCATGAATTTCATATCCCGTATTCTCACAGAGAAGTAAATTTTATTTCACAGAAATATAATTTATTTAATAATAAAATTTAAATAGAAATAAATTATATTATTAAATAATGCGAGAAAATTTGATATCCCATAAATAAATTTTCAAGTAATTTTTTCTCAGTGTATCATCTGAGAATTCCCGAAAAACTAACTTTCCTATTGAATACGAAATTCATGGAAGAAAAATGTTGCTTTATCAGCCGACTACACAAAACATGTATAGTTAGTTGAATAGATAAGATGTAATCGTATATAATACGTACACACGCTACATTTTATTACAATGCCAAATGTGATAAGTACAAACATTGAACATTGTTTGCCTAATAAGCCTTCTTTTTTTCTACGAATTAAATATTTCTTTTTTACTTGGCGAATATATTATATGTTCTTGCTAATTCTCTTTTTCTTAACACTTTGGAGGTCGAGGACACAAATTAATATCCCTGTGCAATCAGTATTTTTGCACAACTTTCTTACAATGGCTTTCAAAGTGTATCATAACATGATAAAAAAAATATATATCAGTATAAATATAAAAAAATTTATATGTAAATATGTTAATTTATATAAATTCATGTACGCATATCACTTCCAATGTAACGTTGCGACTTTTCAAAGGTATTTACATGTCATTTATATAGAACGTTACACAAGTTCGATACATGTACATAATTTCCATAATATACATTTGAATTGTTACACGACCCTCCGTGTATGACATTAGTCTCACGAAGTGTGACGTACCGTTTATTAATTTGACCTTAAACTATGGTCACGTAATAGGTTAGCTTCCACACGTATGCAGGTGAAGCGATAGAAATAGTTAATTGTAAACATTAATGATAACAATTGATTAATTCCAGCGAAAGGGGTTTCGTGTTTTCACATAAAAGTTCACACGAAATATCTCAGACAGCACAAATGTCCAAAATCGAGTCATAAGACGTTTTTAGAATGTCTTTAAGACACCTTTAAGACGATATCTTATAAACTTATCTTCGGGTCTTAAATGACCCGATTTTGGACAATGTGCTGTCTGGGATACTTCTGGCTCGTGTCCACGTGTCCATGTTATCCACGTAGAAATTAGTGGGAAAAATGATCACTATTTCGGTTCCAGACACCCTTGCTTGTTTGCGCCAACGGACCGTTCCGCTCGTTTTTGGAGGCGAATATTCCACTGGTGCAGAATAAATTCTGGCCGACGTTGTGGTGCTTTGAGTCGCGCGCGCAGACCATCTTCGCCAGCATCTTAAGATCCCGAATACTGCCGCGTGTCGAATATCGCAGGTTAGTAAGAAAATGATAAGAAATAATCAGCGAGAGCGCGACGAGCTTCGCTCAGCGAGTCTAAATATTGCGAGACAGTTGACGATAAAACGAGTACTCTTCGTAGTCCACCCTTTTGTAATACTTTGTTTCCCTGTTCAACAGAGAAATTTTAACTCTGTCCGATGGCGGCGAGGTGGCTTTGGATTGGGCCGAAAAGGATTGCTCCGTCACTTCGCCGATCGTGATTATCTTGCCGGGTCTCACGGGCGCTAGCCAAGCGGAATACATTAAGTGCCTGGTAGCAGCCGCGAGAAAGATTGGTGTACGATGCATGATCTTCAATAACAGAGGTCTAGGCGGATTGAAACTCAAGGTAAGTCTTATTAATGTCTATAAATACTTTTTACCGTCACAATCCGGAATTATTTGTTATACTAATGGAAATCGTATTTTTTTTATATATATACTCGTAGACTCCCCGAACGTATTGTGCTGCGAATTACGATGATTTAAGTGAAGTCATTGAACATGTGAGAAAACTTCATCCTCACGCGATCCTTGGAGCCACCGGAATCTCCATGGGAGGGTAAAGTCTAATTTATATCTTCAAATCGACTAATTTAATTTTTTTAAATTTTAATTTAATTAAATTCTAAAAAAATTTTATTAATTTTAATTAAATTCTTAAGTAATATCTTTCTTACACACTAATTTATCTCTAAATTAATGCTTGTGAATATATTTACGAAATATATGTGTACCATGAATTAAAATGATACAGCATTTATAAATCAATGCACACCATTCACGAATTATCTGCCTCTTTCGTCGCATACAGGTTGATCTTGGGCAACTATTTGACGCAAGGCCTAACGGCGACAAACAAACTGAAAGCTTGCCTTATTATCTCGGTGCCGTGGAACGTGTTTGCCGCGTCGCAGAATACAGAAGAGAATTACTTTAATTTAATGCTGAACAAGCACCTAGCTAGCAATCTACGTCGCACTGTAGAAAATTATAATAATTCCGGCGTCAGTCTTTTCAATGTGGATATGGACTCTGTCCTTAAGGTATATTACTCTCAATATCACCGTATATATACATTTTTATTAAATGTAGTTATGAAGAAGAGTTAGTCCAGATAGCGCAAAGCCCTAAAAGACGTCCCTAAAAATGTCTCTAGTCCTCTAAAAAAAGAACGTCTTTTAGAAGCTTGTACTATTCGGGAGATATCAAAATGATGGTTTAATACCAAAACACTATGCTAATACTACTGTTATATCTGTAACAGTGTCAAACGATAAGGGAATTCGACTCACATTTTACGGCAAAGCAATTCGGGTACAAGAACGTCGAGGAGTATTATAACAGCGCAACGCTCCATAATAAGTTACATTTAATCGAAGTGCCGACGTTGTGCTTGAACGCGGCGGATGACCCGTTCCAGCCGTTGAAAGGTGAGTATACTAAGACAAGATATTGTTTATGACGTTTAATACGTGTCCGATGTTTTTTGTGCGAAATCGCTCGACGCAAAAATTTCAATAAATTTTCAGCGATACCTCTGAACGAGATTAGCGAGAGCAAAAATGTGGCCATAGTAGTGACGTCGCGTGGTGGACATATTGGATTCTTAGAAGGTGTCTGGCCGGTTAAAGAGGAACAATATTTGGGAAAGTTTTTCTCGCAATACTTTGCGGCAATGTTCACTAGCGGTTTTGATCAACAAGAGCTTTGACATATTCATAGATTAGAATTAAAAGACAGTGTCATAAACGCGACGCAACTGCCTTGCTATGGCAATGGCGTTTACGTAAAATATATGCCGCGTTATAACTTATCCCCGTTTAATCTTCGTTCTAGCTGAAGTGTGACGCACACTAGTTCTATACAATCATGGTAATTTCTTACCGTTTTTATACAGCCGTCGAAGATGCATAACGGAGCGTAACCGTATACGAGCACATTACGTAAATTCGGCACTCATCGAGACAAAATGCTTGTTAATTTTACTGTCGTGACTTCAATAGTTGACGCACAGTGAAATTATTGTCATGTTGATAATTAGTAGAAACTGTGACTTTTACAAGGGCTACTGTATTACTAGTTGCTTCAATTGCTATCGTTGACACGCTAAATATATCCTAATTATATCAAAGTTCAAAAGAGAGCATATAATTATTGTGTCCCTTAGCATTTAAAGGAATGTCGAGGTTTTGTTTGTATACTCCCGACATAATAGATACAATAAAATTAATTACAACTAGCGGAGGACTGAATGCAGATATAAATTAGTTTCCGAATCAGAGCTTTTAAAATTACGTAGCGATGGATTCGGATATAACGATCACGATATCTAGTTTATAGATTATATGGAGTAAATATCTTTCACGCGAAAGAGAGTGCTACTAAAAGTTATTTATCGTGAAGTATAAGTTTCATAATCTTTATTTGGCAATAGAAACATATTATTATAAAAAAATTTGTAATCGAAGCATGGTGATGAATTCGCAACAATTGCGTTACACACGATACCACAATAGAACATAGTGACGTGTACCACATTACAGTTCTTTGATTTTTGCAATATTTATGCAGCATATCGGATTTATATGTGCTCTCTTAAATATTAATTACAATTTAAATACCAAGCCCAAAGATTGCACGATAAATGATAAGATGTCGGTACTCTCTTCGATCTAAAATGAAACGATTCTCGATTACATATTATTCTCGACCGGCATATTTTAAATTCATCACGCATGTGCGTATGTCGGGTATGTACCCAACGCAATGTGTGTGTGTGTGTGTGTGTACATATACATATATATATATACATATATATATATATATATATTTTGCAAAAATACTCACTACTTTCATGGTTGGCTTTCCACTCCCATGACCTGCCTTTGTATCTATTCTTGCGAGTAAAGGATTAGTTTGTTTTGGTACGTTTCCAACAGTATATTGAAGAGTTGCTATCAATTTAAGAGTATGTAAGGGCACAACACGATCATCGTGATCAGCTGTTAAAAGCAATGTTGCCGGATACTGTATATCGTCTTGTGGCACTTTCACATTATGTAACGGTGAGTATTTCAATAAGTTCTGGAAATGCTTGGGATCATCCGAGCTTCCGTAATCGGAGACCCAAGCGGAACCGATGGTAAACTTGTGGAAACGTAGCATATCCATGACTCTACAAACATTTCATAAAAATTTTAGTAGCATAAATTTCATCTCATATTCACATTTGATATAACTGTTGTGTCTATGAGCTGTTAATTAAAAAGCTAATCTGAATGCAATATAACTCGGTGATTTTTAATCGTTCATTAACTAACCCCACTTGAGCTATAGCCGCGCCAAACAGATCAGGTCGTTGATTTATACAAGTGGCGACTGCCAAACCACCATTACTACCACCTTGAATCGTTAGTTTTGCCGAAGTAGTGTATCCGTTCTCTACAAGATACTTGGCTGCATATTGAAAATCGTCGAATACATTTTGCCTATTGAAGAAACGACCCGCGTTGTGCCACTTTTCTCCATATTCCCTGCAACAAAAAGCGCCATATTTCATACAAACAAATAGGAGAATGTCTTAGAATAGTCTCTGCACGTTCTATCATTACGTACCCTCCTCCACGAACATTAGCGACAGCAAGTACTCCGTCTAAATGTTGTATAAAAACAAGTCTCGTAACGCTAAATGTAGGCTGAATGCTTGCATTGAAGCCACCGTATCCATAGAGTAAGGCTGGCATGGTTCCATCCAATACAGCATCCTAAGTTAAAAACTATGTTCAATCTTCTTATTTTTAGCACCGAGATACTATCAAAATCCACCTAATGATTCAAATTTAATGACCATAAAACAGATATAAAAATAAAATTGATTATTAAGAGATAGATCCTTTTTATCATCTAATACAATTGACAGCATCTTTAATAGTATCTCGTTGATACCTTCAATTACAATAAAAACTTTGTTACATAATATACATACGCTCTTTGTTACTATGAACATCGGAATTTTTGTACCATCCTTGCTTGGATAAAATATTTGACTAGTCTTATACAAACTCGCATCAAAGTGTTCCACCTTAATTTCACGCAATACCTGAAAAAAAAAAACAATTATTAAGTCGATCTATAATTACATTTAATAGACGATATGTATTGCTATAAATATAGTATTACATTTATAGCAACTAAAGAGACATATACTAACTCGTGGTTCTTCCTCTTTTTTTAAATCAATCGTATATATGATACCGGGTGTTAAGAACGATGTAAATTGGTAAAATATTTCGGAATACTTCTTCTCTCCTGAGAATCCGACAACAGTGCCAAGATCAAGAGGGAATTTTCTAAGTACGTTACCAGTATCCAAACAGTGCAGTTGCAAAATATTCTGCAAAGCACAGATTCGATTACTAACGCACATTGTTATTGCTGTACAAATACGATGTGTGTATTTACCTTAACATCTTGTATGTAACAAGCAACAAATTTATCTCCATCCACAGCAGTAGCCCAATCCAGTACATTCTCAGGATGTTCCGGCAAGAGATCGACCCATTTATCTTGACCATAATCTAACAAATCTATAGCTATTAACTTGTAGTTAGGGGCGTTTTTATTTGTGCGGAACACAGCTTTGGTACCAACGTTAGTCACGTACTGGAAATTCATCAGATGTCATTAATGTGAATATATTAAGTGAGAGATTCAAGAGAAAGTGTTAATTACTAACTTCATAGTCAGCTTCGAGTATATCAACAACTTGTGTTAATGGTAAATTCGTGGTTATTTCCATACCAGCTTTTAATGGCGTGAAAAATACTAAATTATCTCTGCAGTCCTTGAGAGGGGTAACAATGAGCCAGTTACCACAATCAGATACTTGTGCACCTCTGATAAGTAAAGGTACATTGAGTACTTAATAGAATATAGTAAGTACTCTCAATATGCAAGTACATTCTTTAGTGTATAACATTTTTTTGCAGCTTACATCCTCCATAATGGTTCCTCAGGAAATTCAACCGCGACGACGTCATCCGATTGCGATGTACCAACAATGTGATAGCACAACTTTTGATTTTGATTACCTAACGTTTCAGAACCATCAGTTTTTCCTTGCTGATCTCGATATTGCCCATAAAAAATGCCGCGATTGTCATGAGTCCATGTAATCGGTGAAAACTTTACTTTTTCCAAAATCTCTGGGTATTTCTCACCTATATATATATAATGAATAATGGAAACAAACATTCTCTTATAAAGTAATATTCTCAACATTGTTATGTATACTTAACCTTTAGACTGCCGAGAAAGTCACAAAAGTGGCTTTATAGCCACAAAAGTAACTTTCCCAGCAGTGTAAAGATTAATACATACGAATATTGTATATAATAGACAGAAATATTTGAAAGGCCTATATAATAGAATTGCAAAATTTTTGTATCATACCAGTTTCTGCATTCAGAAAATGAATTGTGCTCCAATCAGAACCACTTTTAGATAAACCATATGCAAATATGCTACCGTCCTCACTAAAACTACTACTGGTAATCGCAACAGTCCCATCTTCAGAGAAGGTATTAGGGTCAAGGAACACCCTTGGTTCACTTTCAAGAGTATCTTGTACATATAAAACACTATGAAAAAATTCACAGTACATTTTCATGATAACAAGCATGTAATAATAATTTAAGGTATATATAAGGTATATATAAGGTATACTGTACCTCTGGTTTTGTAAGCCAGTATTTTTATAAAAATAATATTTTTCACCATACTTGGCAGGACATGAATATTTTGGGAAATCCCACAATTGTTTCAATCTCTTATGAATATTATTACGTACACTACATGAAGCTAAGTATGGCTTTGTAATAGCATTCTGAGCTTCGACAAAAGCTTTCGTTTCTTCTGAATCTGGATCCTCTAGCCATCTGTAAGAATCTATTATCTGCAAACATAATACCCATCTTTTATATATATTTATGCAAAGAGTATCCCCTTTTCTCTTAAGAAGAGAACACAATCATACCAGACTATACAATATCTCAACTTCAATTTGGATATTTGAAACACACAAGAGATATCTTAGATACAAGTACTAAGTAAATTTACCGAAAGTAATTAGAGAGAGGGAAATAAAAGGAGGTAGAAAAATATACTTATAAATTAAGAGGCATTTTATATAGTGTTCTAACCTCAGTGCCATGATAATCATCGACGACACTTTCATCCCTGCGCGCCACAGGGTACTGTATCCTTGTCATATTTTCCAACTGATCCTTGTCTTTCTGACGATAATTCGCAGCCTACACTGACGAAGAGACCTTCTCTAACGATATATTTATACACAAAATGTACAGCCTCTTTCCATATACGTCAATGCCAGAAAACAGATGCCAAACCGATCACGTGACCCAGAACAACTATTTCAATCAAAATTGTTATCAGAACAATGCCGAATGATAATAATTTTATCAAAATAAAATTATCTCAACAGAATTTCACAAAATTAACGAAACTTTTTTTCCCTTTCGTGATCTTGGAGCATAAAAAGCTGCCAGTCAGGATCACGTGATCGTCACAGGTTTGCAGAGCGATTGGCAGATTACATGATATATGTGAGCAAAATGATTACACACATAAAAAATGTTATCAATGTTCATTTAAATCTCACATAAACAGATGTAAACGCAACAGAGCGTGCCGGTTGTAAATTTTGAGAACGGTTGATGATCCCTGCTTCGTCACTTAAACTTTTGATTATCTCTCGTCTCCAAAATCCAATAAACGGGCGTATCGCTAAGTACATCTTGCTTTTATTAAGCTCTGGTAAATATAGATTTAGTAGTCTCTCTCTCTCTTTCTTTCTCTCTCTCTCTCTCTCTCTCTCTCTCTCTCTTTCTCTCTTCCTCTAGCTTCCAAGCTAGAGGCGATATCGAAAAACAGAATCGACGATAAACAATCCATTAATATTTAATTACGCCCTAACTATTTTTAGTATAAGAAATAATTGAGTAATATTTAATGGATGTTATGAATTTGATCGCTTACAGTAAGCTAACGAATCGGTGTACGATATTCGCTGAGTAATGTGTGAATAAAAATCTAAAAGTTGCTTCTTTAAGATGTATGTATCACATTTTTCACAAAAATTAATTTTCATTACAAAAGCTGATCTAAAAGATGAGGTTGAGATCGAATGGTTGTCATTCTTTCGTTTTTAATTCGATATACTTTAATAATATTAATATTATGAATTTAATAGAAAAAATTTATTATGAATTTAATAGAAAAAAATAGAGACTTTAAGCTTTAAAATGCTCCTCAAATCATTTCGCTATCGTTATTTTTACAGAAGATTGAACCCGTTGAATTTTGCACTTTTTGCATTTATTTTGCACTTTACTGCAATATGAAAAAAGCGTACTTAACTCACTGTTGAATCTGTCACTACTCAATTGTTCCAACTTTACCTTGAATCTATCACTACCCCGGTTTTTTTTTTTTAATTATATTATGCATAGCCTTTAAGTACAAGCTTATTTGGCCTAAAACTACTTTCACTACCCCAGTTGGTTGATGTGTACGGTGGCGGCTCGTAGTGGAGACTTCGGAACTAAAAGTCGACAGAAGTAATGGGTCTAAGATATTATTAGACCCGTTATTTCTTTTGACTTACGGCTCCTACACACAGAACACGAGAGCCAATTAACGTGCCGCTTTTATATAAAAGCCGGAAATTTTTTGGCTACTGCGTCGCTTCTTGCCGCGCGGCAAGGTATTTCCTGTGTGCAAAAGTCATTACAAGCTACAGAAAAATTGTATTCTGTAGACCTGTTATTTCTATCGGCTTTTAGTTCCGAAGTCTCCGCTACGAGCCACCACTGTACACATTGACCAACCGAGGTAGTGATATGATATAATAAATTAACCATAAAAACTGCGTTAGAAAATAAGAAATGCGATATGTAACACAGGATTGTATAGGCCTAGTCCCTAAAATCCAGTACAATTTATATACTCCTTGTACTCAATAAAAAAAAAAAAAACGAGATAATGATAGATTCAAGGTAATGATGGAAGAACTGGGTAATGATAGATTCAACAGTGGCACAAATGTACTTCTCGCCTATATTGAAGCAGAGTTTCTTCAGTCAAAGTTAAGACAAAACATGATGATTTCTGATTGGTCTGTATTATGCTCGCTATTTTTAGGAATAATGTGATGGGAGTGAAAGAGAAACACTAAAACTGAAATGACGAACCCTTATAGAAATATCATATTAAGAATCATTGATAATTACTTATTTTCAGTATTAAAAATACTGGATAATAAGTAATTATCAATGATTCTTAGTATGATATTTCTATAAGGGAAGCACCTGCACAGAACCTGCATCTTCTCTTTTATTCATTCATTCAATTATTTAAGAGAGAGAGAGAGAGAAAGAGAGAGAGAGAGAGAGTTGTGCTTCGGCAAGAAGGTTTGAGTTTTGGCTAAGTCGCTGATAAATATTAATTAAAAAAGGTTCGCGTCTTGGGTGATGAGAAGTGTCGACTTTTAATTCCAAAGTTTCCGCTACGAGCCGCCACTATACACATCGACTACATGAGGTAGTGATAGATTTAATAGTGGGTGTGCACTTGTATTGAAACATGCAAAATTCAACAGGTTATAATTTCTGCAGAAATGACGATAGCTAAATGGTATGAAAAACATTTTAAGGTTTCAAAGCTCTACTTTTAAGGCATATCAAATTTATAATGTTAATATGACTTATTATAAATATATATTGAGTGAAATTAAAAATTGCGACTGTTCAATTTTCAATCTCATCTTTCAGATAAGCTTTTATATTAAAAATTAATTTTTATAAAGAATATTGATATATACATTTCAAAGAGGGAATACTTAGCTTTTTATTTATTCGCTGAGCGAATGTTATACACCAATTTGTTCGTCTGTTGTAAATGATCAAATTCAAAGTGCCATTTTTGTTGTAACATGAAATAATTCAGTGAAAAAAATCGTACTACACTTTGCAAAGATGCAAAATAAAGAGGAAGTTTTACACTTCCAAATAATATAAAATCTATTTGTATGTGACTTCTTTTAACGCGATACAACTCAACAAACTTCATCAAGTTTTCACATTTGATAGCTTTCGATTTTTATTCGTGTAATTAATACCTTAAAATTAATGTCTAAAATATAGCAAGGCAAAGTAATCGAAACATGAAGCATGAGCAACAAATCTTGAACATGTATGATACTGCAAGAAATGCATGTACAGCGAAAAAATATAAAGCAATCAATATTCCACGTCAATTTTGCTACCATGTCATAAACTAGCGACTGATACTCTGGAATGGTCGATTCAAGTACTCATGATGATTTTCGCATAGATTTTTATTACGAAATGTTGCTTGGCGATAATGATTCTTAGCATAGACAGAGAATCGTTTTCTCCGGAAAATACAAAGTATTCTTTTTTTATATCGTTTAAACAAAACTATAATCATTATCTAGTCCAGAATATTCACCCACCTCCGAGACGCAGGCGATGGGTTTATTTGTTCATAAAAATCTTAAATACTCATCGCCGAAAACACCTCGGGACTCAGCGAATCGATCGTGACATCGATTCGCTGGCAATTAAAAGGCGAACAAATTTAACGTTCATCGGCGGCAAATATTCTATTGTCACGTACAAGTATGCGTAGTAGGGACGATTGTAAGTGCTACCAGCGACATAATTGTTCTGCAAAAAATAATTGCGTTGGAAGAAATCAACGAAAATTCTCTCACTGCGAAATGAAATCCCCGATCCGTGCGCGAATTTTATCGATTCTTTTATTCGTTATATTTGAATATACGTTAATTCTCTCGTATCAATATTTTTTTCACAACGAAATAGTTCTTCTAACTTTCTCTTTTCTTCGAAGTTAAGACTATCCAGTCTAATTGTGCTGCGGAACTTTGGACTGATAACGTTAGAAACGACAAGACGCATGATAAAATTCTTGCATGCCATTTTCGAATAAAAAGATCTTTGTGTAAAAAACATTTTAGATCGCTCGAACATATTTGAAAACTATCTCTTTCCCCTGACAATAAATAATCATTAAAATTAACGTGGCAAAATCATGAGGAAAGATAGATCAAAATGGAAAATTGCATGTCACGTTAATTTTACTGTTTATTGAAGGGAAAGAATAGTTTTCGGCGCATTTTACAACTCAAACGATCTGAAATATTTTTTCATAGAAAGGTCTTTCTTCTGAAAATGGCACGTCGAAATTTTTACAAGGTAAACATTCTTTTCTATCCGCTTCTGACGTCTTCTTTCATTAATCCAAGTCCCGCAGCGGAGGGACTAGGAGCCTCAATAGTAAAAATACAAATGAACGAATAATACGAATTATTTGGAAGTAGACTGCTTCAATACACGCGTGTGTCCCAATTATTTCGCTAGGCAATTCCTTTTTGTTTCTAATTTACAACTGTTGCAGCAGGAAAAGAGACGAAACTCGATTCTTTGTCGCGGCGAGGAACGGAAGAACGACACTTGGACTTTGTCGGGGACTCGAGACGTCGAGCAGGAATTCAATTTCGTAGGATGAATTTCCGCGAATCTCTCACAAATATGATCTTAATATATACTACAATCCCCTCAATGCATGTACAGCGAAAAAATATCAAATCCGGGGTTTCTAAAGGTGTCTGCGTAGCCACTTTACATCGTGGGTATCCGTAAACGCTACTTGCAATCTTATATACACGGATTTTAGCTATACGTCCTCTATTCTTCGCAACAGCGGTGCAATTATGCGATTTTTCGCGGCCCACTACTGCCGGCTACGGTGTGTGATGGCTAACATTATCGGCTTATTAATCTTACGCACCAGAATGCCAGTTTCGCGAGAGGCGATCTTTTGCAGCACACAATCTCCCATCGCGCGCGCGCACGCGCGCTTCCTACTATTCGCTACGGGTTGAATCAACGCGTCAAGACACTACTGACGCTTTGAAACGCAACGACGATCGCATCTCGACGCGACGGACTAACTACGAGGACAGTCATTTTAGAACTTCTCTAAAATTCCTTCGAGAGCAGATTCCTTGCCGCGTGACGCGATTCGCCTCGACTCTATATGCCAACGCGATTTTATCTTTCGTTCTGAGTGTGTATCGTATATCTATATACACACATATATATATATATATATATATATATATATATATATATATATTATTTGTGTGAATGTGTGTGTGTATATATAAATATGTATGATATATATAATAATTATTACTGTCGTATAATAATTATTATATACATGATAATTATTACTATCGTCAACATTGACTGTGAGTTATTTCGTTGCGGCGTTGCGTTCCCAGAGCGATTAACAAATATACGCTCGGCGCTAGAGGAACGCCGACGAGTACCGGATAAAATACAAAGATTCGGCAGTACAGTGGGTCCAAGACAGGCGTCTCCGTTATAAAACTACGTGTCGCGATCACGTTTGCGCTGTTCGAGACACAGCATCCTGGAGCGCGTGCGTTTGATTCGATAGCAGAACTGCATCCGCGCGGGATATGCATTTTTCAGCGAACAATCTGCGGACAATCTGTTGGGCTCCCATTCCTCTCTTCTTCCCCTTTACTCTCTCTCTCTCTTTCCTTCTCGTCGTCTTCTTCTTCTTTATAAATCGTATAGAAACGTCTACGGAGGTGATCGCGACCCGCGAATCCGGGTGCAACGTATCGTCGCGTTGGATATTCGCGCACGATATACAGATGATCCGACGGGCTCGTCGGATTCGTCTCGATTGATCGCAGCAAACACACACATACACATACGGACACACGCACACAGAGAGGTCTGGGTTTCCGAAATATAGTTCTCGCGCGAACGAGCGCTCGATTGCCGTGCACGCTGCGCACGGACTTAACGTGAAGATTGCGCGAGAGAACGAAGCTGCGATTATGTCCTATTATCGTATAAGTACGTGTTGTTTGACGTCTCGTGGACGTATGGGTGTATACACGACCGGCAGGTAAAGGTATGAACTCTACGGTTTCTTGGTGATACACATGCGTTTGAGCAAGAGCAAGCACCGCGAGTGATTTCACAGTACGCGCGCGATTCCGGAGGAAAACGCGAAGTACCTGTTGTATCGAACACGACTTACAGTATCGATCGAGCGGATTGCTCGCGCAATCTTCGCTTATATCGATTGCGATTGCTTATTTAAGATTGCGACACGCCTGGATCAGACAGACGTCTCGGGAATTTCGACGGGTTCCCGAGACTCCATTTTGCAGTTTGCCGACAGCCTGCCGAAGCGAGACTCTTGGGACTCTTGGTCCCTCGACGCTCTTGGAACTCTTGCGACTGACGACGCGTCAAAAGTAAAAAAGTGCCTGTCTAAAATTCCTGCGAAACGTGCGGAAAAAAATAAAAGGACATATCCACAAAATAACCCTTAGGATCGGTCAAGCACATTTGTAAAATATTCCGAAGACTTTTTCTCGTCTTTCCAGACAGCGCACAATATTCATTAAATATTTTAGAAATATAGATATTAAATTTTTTATAAAATATTCAAGTGTCTGGAAAAAATCCAGGTATGAGAAAGATTACTATAAATATGCAAAAGATATTTATAAATATTTTTCATATCTGAATTTCTCGAACATTAAAAAAAATTTACTAAATATTTAATCTATATTTTTAAAATATTTTATAAATATTGTACGTGCTGTAGTAACGAACAAATAACCGTAAAATTTATATGGCATGCAAACTTTCTTTTCAGTCTACTTTTCCTCATGATTTTGTCACGTTCATTTCACGGCTTTTGATTGTTAGATTGAAGGGAAGTTTTAGGAATATTTCACAAATATTCTCAATCGATCACAAATGTCGTTTTACGGACATAACAATATATAATCAAGAGATTTTGATGTATTCCGCAAGAATTTTGAGCATTTTTGTTTTCTCGCTTCTGATGTCATTAACTAAGATAGCCGCTACAAGGACACAGCAGCCTTGCGCGTGTATTCTTCGTCGACTGTGGCTTTCCGTGTATTCCCGAGAAACATGCTTTAGGCGATCGCGTAATGCGCGAGTAAAGCCTACATTAACAGTCGTTACTTGCAACTTGTTCTACGTAAGATACACAGATCTGAATTTAGAGTTGGATGAATTTTTTATTTGTATTATATATATGATGCACACACACATATACGCACGCACGCACACGTACACACACGCACACACACTATATGTATTTGCAATCGCAATTTAACTGAGAAACTCACGCTTAACACTAAATTAAAATTTGAGAGTCTCATCTGAGGCAAGTTTCAAGTAACGATTATTATCAATACCGATTTGAAAGTGCAGTGTTTCGTTCTCGTTCTCTCGCGGGACAATAAATTATACGCGCGTATATAACATAGCAGCTCTTAGACAAAGTAACAAGAACGAGAGTATGAATTCGTAAACGTGTACATACGAGCACGTGTACATACACGCGATCTTTTGTGCGTCGCACTATTTCTTCCAAAGAATACTCGCATATTTACGCTTCTCTCGCATGTGATTTCGCTCAAGAACGTTCATCCCTACCCCTAAGAGAGACGCATACGGTGAGATAAATCAATAACTGGATGCGATTTTGTTAAATACCTTTATTACGCTGTCTTAACGGTAAAATTTACACTCAAATGTAATTAAGATTGAATCGTAACTCTTTTTCTCTCAGTCATATATATGTTAAAATGATCCGGTGTGGCGATTAATGCGACATAACCGCAGCGTTGCGTAACTACTATACGCATTGTCGATAAATAGAAGCGTCCGCAGCGATATACGGATGTGATAGTGACAGAGTAGTCTCGCTGGTCTCGCGAGATTATTCGGATCTCATTGGTGTGCGAAACGATTTTCTCTTTCCTTTTTCTCCTACATATCATTCTGAATGTACGATCCATTATCGATACACGCTTCGTAACGCGAGGAAATTGCGCAATTTATTTATAAGTATTAACGCGTGTGAGCATGTGTGGGTGTATGTATGTGAGTACCGCTAATAATAACGTTACAAATTATTCTAGTTCTGACAATGATCAATGTAATGATTGATAAAAATTAACGATTAATAATAATAATAATAGTAATAATATAACAACAGCATAATAATAATAATAAAATAATATTAATAGCCTAAAAATCGTAAATCTACAAATATATAATATAACGTTAATAATAAGATGTCTTTGTGTTGTACAGTCGGCTGTGCCCGAACGTAAAAATCAACACAACGAGCTTCGACTTTGAAAAAGTTGCTCTCCCTCCGTCCCTCTTTTTTTTCTTTCCTTGCACGAACATCAAGCGTCGGGTCGGGTACTGCAGATTTTGTCGTTCGCGTCATTGAACAATTTTCTTCACGACAAAATTTGGAGTACGCCGACATCGCAGCTCGAGCTTTGGAGACAACACGTCAGCTCGACCGTACATATTACAACTTATATTCATCAAATTTGCATGAGATCGTTTTGGTTAGGGATTTAGATTGGGATATACGATAATACCGATCTCGATTTAAGGCTCCTGGATACTCGCATTGTCCGTCTCCTTTTAGTAACGTTAGAAGTGAGAAAACGCATGCTAAAAATTCTTGCAAAATACGTCAATACAAAAAGATGTATCTACAAAATGACACTTGTAATCGATTGAATCGATTAAGCACATCTCTAAAATATCAGTGTAAGCAACATAATCAAGATATAATCAAGAGATTCCGACAAAACTCGGCCGCCGTAATGTACGATTCGATTTTCGATTCTTTACTATAATAAGAGACTTCAGAAGTCGCGAAGTTTGCCGGATTTCGGATCTACCGATGATAGACTGTCCTGTTTTTAACTTAACTCTACAACCCTAAACCTAAGCACGGGTAAAACTTACCCAGACCAACTTTTCAAACATTACCGTCCTTAGAAACATGTGTTTTGTTTTTTTCATTGTAACTTTTCTCCACTTTATTGAATCGCGGAAACATCAATAGATTCATATTCCTCGATGTTGCTTACACTGATTAAGCTTACCTTTTCTTTTCTGACAATCAATAAATAATCGTAAAATTAATATGAGAATAATGAGGAAATTGGGTTAAAAAAGAAAGTTGCATGTTATGTTAATTTTATAGTCATGTATTGATTGTTAGAACAGAAGGAAAATGTTCGGAGTATTTTACTGGTGTGCTCAATTGATTGCAAGTGTCATTTTTGGATCTTTTTATTTCGACGTATTTCGTAAGAATTTTTAGCACACGTTTCCTTGCTCCTGACGTAAAAAGAGATGAACGAGTACCCAGGAGCCTTAACTCGCAAAATACAATTCTCGGTTTCTTCTCGGTATCTCGTAGACGGGCCCGAAGAATAGTATACAGACCGCAAGGGCGGAGTGAAGCGGCGAAAATGACGCGAGTGTATTACAATATGATGTGTTCCTGTACCACATTACTCTTATGTAAGTCCATATTTGGCCTTTTTGCATTGTAACATTACTACGATATATAATCAAGAGATTCCGACAAAACTCGGCCGCCGTAATGTACGATTCGATTTTCGATTCTTTACTATAATAAGAGACTTCAGAAGTCGCGAAGTTTGCCGGATTTCGGATCTACCGATGATAGACTGTCCTGTTTTTAACTTAACTCTACAACCCTAAACCTAAGCACGGGTAAAACTTACCCAGACCAACTTTTCAAACATTACCGTCCTTAGAAACATGTGTTTTGTTTTTTTCATTGTAACTTTTCTCCACTTTATTGAATCGCGGAAACATCAATAGATTCATATTCCTCGATGTTGCTTACACTGATTAAGAGAAAGAAGATATTGAATTTTGATTATTTTTGCGGAAATTATGAGCAAGTGGAATTGATAGAATTTATCCATGTTTAAGGTTCACGTAGCTTTTTTAGAGTTCTAGGGTTAACACCGGTTCAATTTCCGTTTCATAGGATTCGTTTGAATCCAATTTCGCTGAGGACTTCCGTTAAATTGCGCGACGCCAAATTCTCATCGGAATTCCGGACAATTACAATAAATATGAGAGCTGCATAATTATAAAGCATATCAATTCTGTATAATTATAATAAATATGATCACACACGCGGCCAATAATATTAAACGTGTCAACAATATGAGTTAACCATTATCTCGAATTTTCCTCGCGTTCAATTCTGCCGGCGACTTCGCCTCACGGAGGAAGTCGCGTTCTCGCTTCTCCGCGCTTCTTCCGGACTGCGTTCCGTTCTGCGGGCCCGTGCCGATCCGTGATCTCGGTGAATGTGCTGGACAGAGCTCCGTATTCGACATAATCAATGAAATTCTCAGGAGCGCCCGTCGAACAAACCGCGAGTCGCGATCGCTCGTGTAACCGGCCCGCCCGTCGAATCGATCGAAGCTTTTGTTCCGCGCGGAATTCGCAAGAATGCCGCGCGTCGTTCACGTGTGTGCGGTGGCTGGGAGGAGGATGGCTTTGCGAGAACGCAAGAGAGACACGCGTTTTCCACTCGACGGTGGAACCGCGCACGGTTCTGCCGTGCGAGTGTACGAAGAGTGTGCCCTCCTGTCAGCTCTGAGTTGTTCTCGGATGATGTATCAGCGATTGCCCCGCGCACGAGGTCGACGTCGCTGCTCGAGGTCGACGGAGAGGCCGCGTCGGTGAAAAGCGCGACACGTGTCGGCTGAAAGTCATGCGGCGGATCCGAAGCAAGTGTATTCGATATCGATCGACACACCGAACGTCGCGGGGAGATACGCGTTACTTCGCATCGTTCGTCGGTGTTCGGATCGAAACGACGGATGTGATGGACAGCAGCCATCCGTCCGTTCGTCCGTCCGCTTGTTAACAGCCGAGCGATTCGGAACGACGCGGATGCGTGCATCTGGATCGATCAGTCGCTTCGAGCAGGACGACGAGACGCCGCGCGCGCTAACGCATGAGACAAGTAAAGCCGAGGTACCCTTAGTAGTCTGCGAAGCTTTCGTTACGAATGTTTCTCGACATTGCCCGTCACACCCACACCCTTATCTCGCGTCAAACTCTCGTTTCTTCCTCTCTTTTTTTTTTTAACGGAGATTGAGAGTCCGTCTCCTCTCGCCACGTTACTCTCTCGCGACGAGGCGAGGGAGCGACTCGGGGATATTTGGCATACGTAATGGCACAGCTGATCAAACTTGTACTCGCCGCGTTTTCCTAGTCGTTTTCGCAAAATGCCATCGCGCGCGTTAATCCAAATGTGCGCCAGGATGAACGCGACGCTCGTCGAGAGAGACCTGTCCTGCTAAGCGCGTGCGATCTGGGGCCGCACTCTGGACGTGCATTCCAACGCCGAGAGAGTACGCCCTTCTTATCTAAGAGTTGCACTTTTCTTATACGAGCGTCTCGTACAAGCTTGAGAATCAGAAAGACGTACTAATGCTCGAATGCGCGTCTAGAATACGGCCGCTGTCGTTGCTCGAGTGGTTGCGTGCATGCGACTGGGATATCGACGAGAAATTACTACGAGGGAGTCTCATGGGGATCATGGGGAACTTATCGCGACAAATACGTGTGCGGATACGCGCGAGCTCTCGATGCAACCACGGCGCGCTGACAGGTGCGGAAGTTTTGGGCGTAAGTCGGACGAAGAAGGGCCGATATGGACGCGAATGCACGAGTAAACCGCGAGAACCGCCGGGGGGGGAGAGGGGAGAGAGAGAGAGAGAGAGAGAGAGAGAGAGAGAGAGAGAGAGAAAGGAGAGAGAGAGTTGAAAACAAGCGGATTAAATCGGCATCTCAAAAGATCGTCTCTGCGACTTCAGGTAAGTTTTGTATATAGAACCTTAAAAATCCCCCGATAAAAAAACGATAAAAAATGTTCCCCGCGAGACGAGGGGTTGTATGTGAGATTTTGGAAATAATTTCACCTCGACTGTTTTTGTGTAAGCTTCAATGTTATCGCCGCACTTCTCATTTTCGGAACGCCGACGCTCGATCTGATCATGAGTGAAGAAGTTACGTTGACAGCCAAGTGTCCCAGAAATTTTGCGATAATTCCCGTTCGGACATTGTCCCCGGTAAAAGCGCTGTATATCTGCACACAGTCGAGCGTGAGAATTTTGATCGAGGGGAGGAACCTACACATGGACGGCAATTACTTTCTATGCTACCTACACTCGCACGTTCGCGCATTCCGCGGGGCCTCCAGTTACTTCGGATAACGTGCGAATCTCGTTCGCGCTAATATCACGTTATCCGTGTAAAAATTGATCAATGCATGCCGATCGGTATGTATGTGTGTGCTGTGTGTTTTGTGTGTGTGTGTGTGTTTCGTATGAGCCCTGGAACGTGATAACCTTTTTAAATGTACAATTCGACGAATATAATCCAGACACGTGGAACATCTCGATATATGCGGCATCAAGTTCACACGGGGAAGGAAGAAAGGTAACGAATTTTCTTCTGTCCGTGCGACGACAACATTACGTCAAATATCAGTCGCTGGGACTGACAATTTTTAAAAGGGTCGCGCGATTTAAAAAAGTTCGCATGTACATACGTATAGCCGTATCGACGAAAAGATTTGGGGGGGAGGGGGGAATACTGACAAACATGATACCGGTGATTTTGAACACAAGTGAGGATGATAAAATTGATGGCTTCGCGAGAATTGTCGGTCACTCGATGAGTCTGCGAGTCATCACGAATCATCAATTTGAGTAGCGCGTCTCTTTCCTCGATACAATTGACACATGTCGTTACACTAATCAAAGTCTAAGTCCCGTAACATTATTATCAATAAACAACAGCGGTATGCTAAATATCTTAGCATGTTAAGTTCGATAATTATATAAAACGAACGCGATACGTACTATACAAGATATAAGTAATCTGTGTACGATAATATATATGTAGTATACATAATATATACAAGATAATTTTACTAAATATAGTAAATTATTTTAGTGTTAAATTATACCTTGTATATATGTATATATATATATATATATATACATATAGTATAATTATACTATAATTATACTATAATCATCATCATAGTATAATTATGCAATACAATTACGCTAATTATGCTAAATTATACTAAAGCATGAACGTTAATCGGAAAACTGGAAGAAACTTTCAATTGACGAGTTGCCGCGCTCAAATCTAGTCAGTGTCTAGCGTAGATCGCGACGACGTCCCGCCGATTTTCTTCCTCTCAAGTAAGAAACACTTTTGTCGTTTTATTACATTAAAATCTTAAGTTGCAAGTCGCGCGTCGTGGCTTACTTGTAAAAAAAAGACTGTCTCGTCGCAAATCCGTCAACATATAAAATTTGCAAGTGTTCGTGCCGTTATCGCTACGTCATAAAAATATATAATCGAGATCAAACGTATTTCGAAATAAACGGCTCGAGTGAATAAACCGCGTCTCGCGAACGATCCAAAGCGAGAGAAGGAGTATAAGAGAGTAACGTATGGTTATACAAACGTGATGTTTCATATCGTTCCCCATGTCCGTGTGTGTATGTATATATGTATGTATATATGCATGATCTAGAGCGAGACCTTCGCTGGATCTCTTAGTAAATCGATCGATTCAACTGCGTAGCCTATCCCATGTACGCGTGCAGCTCCTTTGTTGGCGAACACGATCTTAGGTCGTCGGAAGGCTAACAAGGCTAAGCTCGGTATACGGCGACGCATGGTGCAACATAATGCCTCATTTACGCGCGAGAGAGGCTCGAACAACAATGTTTTTTTCTTCGATTACTTTTATCTGGCAGTATAATTGGTGTATAAAATTTTGGTTTCTCTTCTTCCTTCTTTCCCCTTTTTCTCTCTCTTTTATCACACTCTTTGTCTATTTTTCCTTTTTTTTTCTTCTTGCTCCAGTTTCTGTTCATGTCTCACCTCTATCCATGTCCCTATCCTTATCCGACCCCGCGAGGGGGTCCCAATAAATTTAGATATCACAATTAACAGCTCTGTTTCACGCGATTTTGCACTTGCCTATCTGCCTGCGTTTATGTCTCATCAGCTTGAACATCGGTCAAACCGAACTCGATTCGCCGGTCTTCCTTTCGCCCGTTCAGACTCGATCGCACGTTCCTCAGGGCTCGGACGGCGTCCCCGAGGGCTCGGCGTCAATAGCGCCATCGGTTTAATCGTAACCGAGAGCGCGTCAGGCTCGCGCGCTCTTGCCGGAAGAAGGAAGACCTGTTGCAGTGACCTAAGAGACGGTTCGGGAACCAGCACTTCGTAGGACATGTATACTCGCTTCTGCGCGAGTGCGTATCTAGTACGTACCGAACCAGAAGGTTCTCTTCTTGTCGGGTGAGTCACGAGCGAGGCTGCCGTTAGTATCTCGCATTCTACCGTGAATGCTTGACAGAATAACGTCGTGACGCGGTCTAACGTGTCGCCTCGCTCCGTGCGCGAGCACGCGCGCGCGTCAATTATTCGCTATCTACTAATCGAAGGATCCCTCGTTACGGCTAAAAGGAACCCGGTCGGAGTTCGCCAGGCACCACACGAACGGGCGGAAGTCGTACGTTCGGATGGACCCTCCTCCCGTCGTTCAAACCTCCTCCATTATCGGTCCGTCTTCCTCTATCTCTAGACTGGGCAGCTTGTGTTTGCATCAATGCACAAGCGTATCGGCGGTCTCTTAGAGAATCGTCCGCGATATTAACATCGGATGGAGCGAGTATCTTTCCAGGACGTTTGTGTCTACCGTCAGCTGCTTAGATAACCGCGCTGTGTACGACGACGAGAAACGGAAAAGAGGAGGATGAGGTGCTTGTAAGCTTGCACGCTCGCTCGCTCGCTCGCTCGCTCGCTCGTTCGCCTATGACGAGTTACGAGAGAGAGATAGAGAAAGAGAGATGATGGACAATGTATAGGACAGTCCTGTCGCGCTACGACCAGCGGTTTCGCGCCTCGTGCGCGCTTCACGCCTTTGCTGTTGGCGCCGTTGTTGTGCACCGGTGCGACGATTGGCATTTGGCAGTTGGTGTAACATATCAACGTAGCACTGACGAACTCTCGGGTCGGCGTAGCGAGGGTATCCGCCTCCTACGGACGTACGAGCGAGGCGGACGTTTGGCCTATTCGCTGCAGAAACGGGTGCAGGCTTTCTTCCACCTGCACTGGGTACACCAGAGGTCACGCGAATTCATTCCGTAGACCTTGCGGCACTTCTTCACGTCGTTGCGAGTTCGCCGCGGTGAGGACGGCATCTTGCCCGTGGACCCTGTCATGTTCTGTTGATGACACGCCTGCAATGGCCGTGGGGACAGTTTGATGTGCTTGACAGGCGTACCCTGAAACAGATAACAAAGATTTCGTCAGACCGACCAACCTCGATCTCGATAATGGTTGAATTTTTTAATAACGATGAAATGTGCAATTTTAATAACGAAACTGAGAACGATGCTTCCTTATCTTCAAGGAGGACTCAAGGAGAGTAAACGTAGATTTAATTAATTTAATTTAGATATAGAATAAGACTCTCCGATAATCAACAATATTAGAGCGAAGTAAGCGTGTGTGAACTCTCTTTCTCCTTTTTCAATAACGGATAACATGCAGTCTTAATTATAAGAAGAGAGGAAACTGAAAGAGCAGAGAAAACGGACATTTCGGTAAGATAAATAACAGAGAAATATTTTATGAAAGCCTAAAATTTTGCGTACCCTAAGTGTGTACCTCTCGTCCTGATGATAGATCTCCCTTTACAAGTTTTACGAGCGCGATTACTCACCGGCGACTGCGAGATCGCGTTATTCGGCTCTCTGGCACCGACCATCACGTTGTCGATGCTGTTATTTGTGGCAGGAGTCGCTTCAAGACGAAGCTGCTTTTGATATTCTGGATCCTCGTGCGGCGGTCTTGCCATGTCCCGGTGAGACATTGTGGGTGGTGAGCTCATGTGATCCACGCCGACCTCTTGGTAATAGAATTCCTCCTCGGGAACGCGCATATAATCCTTCTCACTGTCCGGCCCCTCGAACTTTTTCGGGCTGCGCAAAAAACGCGATTTTCTCCGTTTATATTCACTGTGAGCGTTTCGCTTACAGATAACAGCTCCTCCGTCGACATCGCCTAGTCGTGTCTCGATTCTTTTCGCACGTTACGTAACGCGTGTAACGAGAACTACTCAAGTAGAAAAATTTCCAGGAAAAACTGGTCACTGATCACTGGTCACTGATCAAGAAATTGGTCAGTTTTTACCGGCTAGGATTTATTAAACAGGAAAGTATCGGCTAGTACTTTTTGGCCAATTACTGATCAAAAACTAGGCAAGAAAAAATAATAATGTATAGTAATGATAGTTAGAGTAGTATAGATAATGCAGGGGCAAATGAATAAATAATATACAAGAAATGAAGGAAGAAAAGCATACAAGAAATGTAGAGGCAAAGTTTGTCATTGGATAGGATAAGGAAGCAAAATAAAAATACACGGAAAAAGGATGACACGAGCACAGGTGCTGTGCAAGTAAAGAAATTGAAATACAAACAGTAAGAGGGAGGTTATAGAAAACTCTTTCTTGACTATGTAAGCTGAAGGAAAATGTACTGATATATTGATTAGAAACTGGCCAGAAATCGATGAATTTTGCTGACCTACTGACTGAGTTACTGGTAAAGTGAGCGTCGCCTAAACTTATCAGAAATTGGTCAGTAATCAAAACTCCTGATCGGTTACTGGTTAGGAAGAGACCGCTCTTTTTCCACTTGAGTATATTATACGGATCGTTCTCTCGTGACAGACCGAAATCAGAGTAGTGCGTTATAAGCATGATTTGTTAGTCCGATTAATTTTTAGCTGTCGGATCGCGTTTCGTCCCACGGTTGTATGTGTGGCGCGTGTTATATCGTCGACGTCACAATAGAGAGAAACGATGGTCGGCGGCGCGAGAGATCGAGGAGTGCTATAGAAATATTTAATGTCAACATGTCTTTTCTCTCGCCGGCCGCGGTCAACGCTTGATCTCGCGCGAGCGTGGTCCCGCGACCTCGTAACGCACTATGCTGATAAAATGCGATCCGACGAGGCGAGGCGAGGCGAGACGCATTGTATCTCGAGTTATTAGCATACCCCAGATGTGACTGGCGCACATGTTCCTCGATAAGCGGGACGGTCGCTTTGATTTCCAGACAGCCCGGCCAAGTGCACTTGTAGACCACTGCCGGGTTCGCCTGCAAGTACAAAGCCATCATTAATGATCGTCGATACATCATGATAGACGTGTTAGAGGAAGAAAGAGCGGGGAGGGAGAAGGAGTGATATGCGTGGTCGCGATTTTCGGCCAAGCCGACGCACGGTTTTAGTACTCTTCGGCTTTTTTCGCCTCCAGTCGATTGTACCGTTTTTCACATCGATTTCGCGACGCGCTAACGTCGATGTATCGGTGATCGTGGGTTAGCACGTGGGCGCGCGTCGATGTCGAGGGCTTTGTCGCGTCGCTTTTAACCTTTCGATCGAAATGAACGACAGTCGCTAATCAGGACGGCCTTCAGGTCGTTACGATGCCACACCATCCATGAATTTCTCCTGTTATTTATACCAACGAAATATCCATTTTCTCGCTGGAAAATCGTTTCTGCACGCAAAAAAATCTCGGTGCAACCGAATAGGAACCAACTGAAAATTAGCTGGTGAGAAGCGATATCTCTGTTATGAAAACTTATACTTCTGTTGTCGCAACCAAAAATATTCGTCGTACTATCGCTGAACATGCAGCGATAGTAGAACTCGGTTGAAGCAATTGAGAACAGTTGACTATACAAAAGTCTCATAGAGGGATTTTTCTGTTCCTACAGCTGAGTTTTCGTCTGATCCCTGAGTAACCGAAAATTTGGTTGCACCAACAGAATTATTTTTTCCGTGTGTTTTTTTCTCTCACGTTATTCATCCGAAAAATTCACACTCACTCATCTTCGGTCTCTCTCTCGTCCCTATGCGAGATAATTGTTGGAGCAACAAGCATGAATAATTTAACAAATTTCGAAAATCATAAAAATACCATCGATCACAGCGTTTCTTTGAGAAAAAAAGAGACAAACTTCCTCACTTAAACATTTTTTACATCTTAGAAAGCAACGAGAATGAGATGATTGCGATGAACGAAACTTTATAATTACTTAACATCACTAATCGCCAATAATGTCTATTCTGCTGTGCGTGTCCTAATTAACTGTATTATAACAATTGAACAAATAACTTTTCATTAACATTACACATAATGCAGTGTTAATTACGATAATTAACGAATTGATAGATGACGTGTCTCCTGATAAGACACGCTCATCTTCGATCTACGTCTATTTTCGATCATTCTCTCTTTCTCCCTCCCCGTTTCCTCCTTTTGTTTTAATTTTTCTACAGGGTCATGGAGAAGAGAGAGCCTCTTCGCGTTCGCACAATTATGAGACAACTCGTCATATTACTAGTCCACGAGCAACGGATTGTTTTAAGACGGCCCTGCCGTTGGAGTCACGCCAAGCCGAGCCAAACCAAGGTAAGGTAAGGTAAGGTAAGGTAAGGTAAGGTAAGGTAAGGTAAGGTAAGGTAAGGCAAGGTGAGGTAAGGCAAACCAAGCCGAGCTTGGCTCGGCGAGAGAGGAAAATCGATGCGCGGCAGCCAACAGCTTCGCCGTGCGCGCACGTTTCTTTGTTTACATCGGAGGCGCCGCGCCGGTCACGACGGCGGTGGTCACGTGGTATTGATCCAGAGGAGAATGAGGATACGCGAAGCCCTCGCGGACCACGCGGTTCTCGATGATCGCGTGCGATCTCCGACGCCGAAGGACGACGGCGGACGCGCACTGGCATTTTCGTACGAGAAAGGTTACGCACGCGTCCTCACCTGCAATCATCTTCCCCGCCTCGAGTGACGATTACCGGACGGTCCCTTGGATCCTCCCGTCCCCGAGCGCGAATGGGAATGACGATCCGCTTCAATCCGTCCAGGAAGCCGGATTAGATTCGCGCACGGGTCGTCATTAGTCCCGGCGAATCGTTCGATCATTATTCCAGCGTCGTCGTGCGACGATGCGAACCAAGACGATTACTTCGCAGAGACGCGGGGAGTTTTGCGGGACCGCTGCGCGGTTCCCGTGCTCCGGGCGTACGACAGTGACTTCCATATTTATCTGCGACGACAGAGGGCCGGAGATTGATTCTCGGCCGGAATTATACCGGTTACCATGCGCGTTTCGGAACTGATGGATTCGGGCACAGCGACGGCAATGGCGGCGGCCGTGTGTGTGTACGTGTGTATGTAACCGGACACGGCTAATCGTCTATTAACGGTGCTGCAGATCATCAGTCGTCGGCCACACGCAACACGGACATTTTCTAGTGTAACGGGCCGCAGAAGTAAGACAATAATGATCTCGTTAATGCGAAGGACGCCCCTTCGTGACATTCCGGATTAATAAATTCCGCCGGGCAAAATAATTTCACCGAGTATTCGCGCGCGAGCGCGATACCGACGTCGTCTCGGCCATTCAGCCAGGCTAATGAGCGAATGAATATTTACGGGTGATTCCAACGACTGTGCACTTGAGTCACGATCTCGGAAATCGCGTCGATCCTCGTTCCTTCCCTTCGAATTCGCGCGGATCGCGCTCACGCGCCGTTATTGTTGCGCCGCGCCTCTCTCTTTCTCTCTTTCTCTCGATTCTCACGTGGTGTATACCGGGTGACGCAGCGAAAAGCCACTGACCGAGAGTAAGGGAGAGGAAAGAAGAGAGAGAGAGAGAAACCGAGGGAACGTGCGCGCGCGGATGATAACAAAGCTCGATAAGCGAGCGCGCGCGCGCGCGCGCGTGATATCGATGCGCATCTAAAAGGACGCGCCGTTCGGCAAGAGACGCGCTCGTTCGGCGGCTAGACTTTAAGGACCCCCTCGTGTTGCTGCTAGTGTAGTGACATCACCTCTGAAACGGTACACGCGAATACGGCGTGGTGCACGGCGTGGCCATTGCCGAGGTCACAGACCTTCCACGCCGGTCGGCAGGCAATGCTCCCTTTGCCTTGCCCTGCCTTGCTGTGCGCCTCGCCGTCGATTTGGCGTGCTCCGGAGAACTCTTCGCAGTCCTCCTCCTCCTCCTCCTCCTCCTCCTCTTCTACCTCCCCCCTCTACCCACCCCTATCACTCCCGCCGCGACCTTTCGCACACGCCGCGGTGATTCCGATAGCATTGGTCTAGAGGGCACCACGTGTACCGGCAAGCGTCCTCACGAGCGCCGCTCATGATTTCTCTGGGCCGCCGGTCGGCCGGCCCGCGGATCTGCTCGCATGCGCGTCTTTTGCGCGAGGAGGATGCATGGCAGAAACGTGGGTCCTTTTTGGAAATCGTCGTGTGTCTTTCTAGGTCAAATCGCCGGTTCCGTGAAGCGGAACTTCTGCGAGCGTGGAAGCAAGTACGGGTCAGATTGCTCGGTGGTCATTGCGGTGAGTTGTCAGTAAAATTGCTGCGCAATTATCGTCGCGAAATACGCCGCTCGAAAGACGCTCGACGATTATCTGGACATCGTTTAACGCGGAGGTGCGTGCAGAGACGCGTTACCGCGAGGCGCTTTGTTATCAAACATCCCGACGTGTTTCTCTCTCTCTTTCTCTCTCTCTCTCTCTCTCTCTCTCTCGCTGTATGACGCAGCGCCACGTATGACGCGCTCGCGAAATTTGATCGATGACGCTGAGGCAGGTCGTCGCGGAAATCGCGCGACACACAAAGGGGATCACCGGCCTCTTTCTTTTCTCGCGGCGTAGAAGACGGAGATGGACGCGATGTAAATCCGGCGGAGCGATCTCTCTCCCTCTCTCTCTTTCATGACTGTTGCGAGAGCGTAGGGATGAGTAAGCTCGACAGGGTTGCCGCGATGCGCGGCGCAGAACGTCCGTCCGTGCCGCGCTGCGGGCACGACGCGCGCGACGCGGCGTTTCGTGGGCGCATCGCGTGCCAGATACGACGTTGCCGGCGGTAGAGAGATAGCCGTGTGCGCGCGGGCCCGTTGGGGATGCACACGCACGGGTTGGCTGGCCGCGGAGGAGCGGGCAAATCCACCGGTCGGGCATCCACCCTACACACACCAGCCTCGGCCGGCTTGTTCACGCGAAGTACCGCGCGCGCGTCCTTTCCCCCCCCTGCTCTCCCACTACTTTCGCGCGCGCGCTGCGCTACGCAACGGTACGCGCTCGTGAGCGAGCGAACTCGCACGCGCTCGTGCGTGAAAGTCCGCTCGTCGCGAAAATCACGCACGTGTGTGACACGCCGCTGGAACGTTCTGCGTCGTTCCTTCTTCCTCCTCTCTCTCTCTCTCTCTATCTTTTCTCTTTCTCTCGGTGTTTGATAAGCGGCACGCTTTCGAAACGATTGCTCCACAATTTCGAGGAGAGAAACGAACAACGACAAAGTTCGGTGATTCGCCTCGCAGGAATGCGTTAGAAGTCAATGCACCGAGGTTTGTTACGTCCAATGGACGTCGAATCACGTGCGCACGTCGAGAGCGGAGGGTATCTTTCCTCCTCCTTCTTTTCTTTTTGCTTGCGACTTCGCCACGGCCGTCGTTCCATTATATTGATGATCAGTCGTAATTCGTGCACCCACGCCGCCGATTACCAAGGCCGTTCGTTCCTGCACACGCGGTGCAGGTTTCGCGGCGTGTTTACGAATCGCTCTCCCAGACCCATCCGCCGGTGCGCGCCGTCGTTGAATGTATACGCGTACGAGCGCGCGCGGCGCCGCAAAAATCGATGCCAAACTACAAGCTGCAACAACCTGCTTTTCACGCGGCTCTCGCTTTCTCCGGTTAGGCCGACTTGTACCGGCGAGCCGCCGGCTGTTGCACAAAGGTGCGCGCGGCACGGCTGTATTTTCCCTACGTCACTACCTTTCGCGCAACTGCCGAGATTTTCACATGCAAACCTTTCCCGCCCCGTACCAACCATCCAACTTCAATCGCGCGCCGCGCGCACAAGTCCCACGTACTCTGACATTTTAATCCGACCGTTCGACGTTGTGGGCGCTGCGGAGTATTGTTATTGCGGAAAATAAAAAAACTCAATTTGCATCTCCTCGCACAGCGACGCGACGAAAATGCGAATACGGAGCTGCCTGATGAATTCGTTTCATTTCTAAATTTAGATAAATTTAAATAAATAAACTTCCCTCTGGATCGAATTGATTGATC